TTGTGTTGGCCTTGTACTCTGGCTCCTCGGAAATATTCATGCTGTCATATTATCGTGAACTTCGATCATGCTGAAGCCGCCTGATTAGATTTACACTTCCTGTCCTTTGGTAATGTGAAAGGGGCTTGGTTCGCTCCGTCTGATACCGGTTTGCATCTTCCCTAGATGACATTATCAAGTCGAACAGGAAGAACAAGCAAGCTACTGGCAACGCCTCGAGGAAGACGTCGGTGCGTGGACGCCCTGGTCGTGTGTCTGCTTTGAAGTCACCGCTTCGGAAGAAATCAGCTCTCAGGCCGAATCTGGCTGTCACGATGAAGTCTCGGCAGTCTACTACGGCTCTCGCCATCTTCAAGAAGGCACAACGTACAGCAGCCGCTGCTGCCAAGATTGCTGCAAGTGCTGCTGCCATTCTATCTACGAAACAATCACAGAGACGGCCCCCATATACTGGTGATTACTGCAGTCTCTCCGTTTTTTAAATCATCTAATTTCTTACTGGTATTCTGGGAGCTTTCTACTGTCTGCTTTTTGCTCTGTTTGATCCGGGTCTTGTTTCTACTTTTGGTAGTAGACTGCCCCCCTGATAGCAAAAAAATAATGACTACGGAGCAACCGCAGCGGAACTCTGGCGTTGAACAGCCGGAGACTTTACTTGGCTGCAATGTCAGCCCTTGCAGTTTCTACTGGTCCACAACCGCAACGAATTTGGGGCAACTGTCACTGGTAATTCGACAGCAAAATGTTATCAGAGCAGAAGAGTAACGGTCACATTTATATAACTTACTAAGGACAAATGAATTGCCTTCGGACAACACGAGACTGGTTTATTCCTATGTAGCCCCCAATCACAACAATGCAATGATGGTATACATCTTGTGTAATTGACCGCCATTAGAATTGCCGCGTAAACACCTCACAAAAACTGCCTTGCTCAGCCAACTTGTGTCCATATTCTGATTCACAGTGCGAACATAATCTTTTGGAAGAGTTTAGCAGCCAAGAAGATTTGCGTCAGTTAGTTCAGAGGCAGTTTTTTCCTATAGTCCACATAAACTTCGGAGAAGCCTTTTTCGCCTTTTACTAATCCCTATGGATGATGTTTTCATTCTTCAGAGGCTCGCGGCTTTGACTCATAGTACGGTGTCTCAAGATGGATCCATTTCTGATAGAGATAATGTGCCTAGTGTTTTCTGAGCTTTCTACAGGCTCTGCACCTGTTTCCGACCGCGGTTAATCCGCCTGTGCCACAATCACCGGACACAGGCCTGCTCATGTTGTTCGGGCTTAATGCTCCCCAATGTAATCTCATACAAAGTCTACTGCTGGCGGAAAGCTCGCTGAGAAGGCGTAATCAACCAGCTGTTTGTATTGACTCTTGTGGATGGAGGGAAGCAGCCGCCACGAGTCTTTTTACTCTTCGATTTTGCCCTCAAAAAGGCCCCTGACTGCTTTAATGGTCTTGCGTTTGCGCCAGTGCTGGTAGTGACCGTCAGTGCCGGGTACCTCTGTCACTCCAGCAGTCGCACATGTTGTATGAAAGTCCTTTGCAATCCCTTACCT